CCACATTTTCAAGATTTAATCATTAATAAAAATAAAATAATATTTATATAAATTATTTGAGTACATATGAATCACTATATTGATTAAAAAAATTGTAGGTAATGTAATTTTTATAATTTGGAGGGATCATGGTCAAATAATTTACTTGAAAACTTTATTATTATTATTGTTATTATTATTATTGTTATTATTATTATTATTATTATTACTACTATTCTCATTACAACGACAATTGTGTATAAGATTTTTTAAAGTTTTTTTACTATACTATTAAAACTATTTACTAATTGTTTCTAAAGAAAATTGTTTCATGAAATACAAAATTAAAATAATAATAATAATAATTAATAATAATAATAATAATATAATTCATAAAACTTAATTAAGTGTAGTTATGTATTTATAAAAACTAATTAATAAAATCTCATTTATTTTCCCTCCAAAAGAAGTTACAAAATTTGTCATTTATATTTTGCCTTTCAGATTAATACACCCTATTAAGTGTAATCATTACTTATAGCTTCCTTTTGATTTCTTTTGTATTTCTTATTCTAAGATCAAATGGATTTCGGAGTTCCCTTCCCGGGATTCACTGAAAAACTTCGGCATGCTACACCTTCGGTAGAACCCTTTTGCTATTATATTATATAATAGTTAAAGCTATTATCAACTCATAATATTTCACACTAAATATAAAGTACATAAGTATAAACAATTTTATTGTTTCAAGATATTGTTATTATTATTATTATTATTATTATTATTATTATTATTATTATTATTATTATTATTATTATTATTATTATAGTTAATGCTATTTTTTTACTATTATATTAATAATAGTTAATGCTATTATTTTTTTTACATAATTACACTTAATAGGGTGTATTAATGTGAAATGCCCAATATGAATGACAAATTTTGTAACTTCTTTTGGAGGGAAAAATAAATAATGTTTTATTAATTAGGTTTTATTTAATGATTAGCTAGCAATTATATATATATATATATATATATATATATATATGACTTTATTTTGTTTGAAGACAATGAAAACTATTTTATTAAAGAGACATTTTTATAAATAAAAAAAAAAATCAGGAAATTAATATGACAAATACTTTATTTATTTTGTTGAATATCACATATATGTATCTTTTTTGTAAGTTTAATGAATTGATTTTAAAAATTTGAAGGAAAAAACATATTCTATGTTTTAATCACATACCATCGTACATTACTGTTGTTTCTAGAGTTATGATTTTTTTTAATGAAAATTTCAATTTTTTTTTTAGGATGTGATAACTTCCTATTCATTTAAATTATAATGGACCCACATCACTTATAACGTCAGGTCGTGCATCGCGCGGGTAGTGTACTAGTAAATAAAAAACGGGGTGCAATGGAGAAACCTAATGGAGAAGCATACACCAACATCAAAGGAGAAACCTAATGGCTAATGGTAATTTTTGTGAATCTCCAACAGATCATGTCAAATATATGCAGGGCGTATCCATAAAATAAGTAGACAAAGGAGGTTTGGTTTTTGGCTTTTTACTGCAAATAGTTTATCAAACATCACTAACACACAGGGTAAATTGCGCCAAACCCCCTGTATTATACGAAATCAGCGCCTTATCCCCCTGTATTTTAAAAAATGCGTCATACCTCCTTGTATTATACTTTTGATTGCGCACGCTCCCCTCTCCTCGTATAATACAAGGGGGTATGACGCATTTTTAGGGGATAACGCGCAATCAAAAGTATTTTAAAAGGGGGTATGACGCATTTTTTAAAATACAGAGGGATAAGACGCAGATTTCGTATAATACAGGGGGGTTTGGCGCAATTTACCCCTAACACACACCATCAAAGGATCTTATCTAGATTGTTATGTTAATGATAGAAAATAAGAATCTTATCCCAACTCCAACAAAACACGACTTTACATCGCTTGCTGACAAATACATGTAGAAAGCCAAAAACTATCTTCTTTACGTAATAGCAACTTGCTAAAAGTCAGCAGTCCGTGGCCTTTTGGGGTCTGATCGATCAATCGGCGAAACAAATGAACCATACTTCTTTTCCCACCGACTCTTAAACATATGGACCTGATCATTACAGAGCACGTAATAACATAATTACAAAATAAATAAATAAACAAATTAAGTACAACAGATCAACAACATCTAAATTAAACATACCATGTTGAGCAAAGAATCAAGTGTCTTATTTAATCCATTCAGATCGTGTTTTATGCCCGCACTCTGACTTCCCACATCATCCGAGGAATGCTAATAAAAATAATTAAGATAGAGGTTTTAAGCTCAACATAAAGTTGTCTAAAACAAATATTTAAATTAGCATAATACCTCTCGATATTGTTGCCAAAAACGTTTTCTTTCTACAATCATAGCACGGCTAGTCTTGGTGATATACATTCTGATATCTCTCCCCATTAGCGTCTTCTCTTCTATGGGGCAAATTTTTGAAACGAGCTCTTCAGCTTCAACGTACAATTCCTCGACCGGAAATGCCTTGACCAACTACGGTAATTGATATTATGTATGCAGTAATAGGCCCAACCAGAGATACATACAAAAAGAAGAGAAATGAGAAAGGCTAGGGCAATAGTCAATAGCAATAGGTGAAAATTCTTTACCTCAATCTGTTTTTCAATGAAACATTTTGAAATTGAAGGGGCGAGCACTTTTCCCTCTGCTTCAGCAGCCTTTTTTTCGCGCTCATGATCATCTTCCACCTGAGCCATAACATGAAGAAGAGCTGAAGCCCTACCGTTAGCCTTTGTTTGCTTGTACCATGAGACCTGTTAACAAATATAATTAAGTGAACTCATATGCCAGAGCTATATACAAAAAAACCCGAACTAATGAAAATGGCACAACTGTTTTGCTCATACCAAATTTAATGTGTGTGAGTATCTACTATCTAACAAAATATCTTACCCCAACAGCAATTTCAAGTGAGACAATTGAGTTATAATGGTCCTCATCGTACTCAGGAATCTCCAAATTTCTGATCACCCCATTATCTTTTAGCATATGAGCTAATCGAAGAAAGACGGTTTCCAGA